TTTTGTAGATCAGAATCTGGATCGTCTGTGGTAGACACAGGAATAGCAATAATCGTTGGATGTTTTCGTTTTAAGTGCTCTTTTAAAAAAATAATAAAATTAAAAAAATAATAGTTTGTTAAAAAATATAATATAGGTAAATATATAGTAGGAATTACGAATTAGGAAAATATGTACAACTAAATAATATAATATAATATTGTAGTATCTACCTTTTAAATTGGTTGTATTTCCATAAAACTTTAAGTCCTTCTTACAATTTCCAACTTGGCAAGTTACTGTCGTTTTGTCACTATTTTTTTTAAAATGCTCCCACACTATCGAACGCTGCTTATTTCCTGGTCACATTTTAAAAAACTCGAGTTTGTGCAAAAATATATTATTATATAAGCTTTAAATATTGTACTAGTACAGTGTGAATGTACGAAATAATTATACACCCAGTATACTTATAACTTATAAGTTATGAATAAATACTATAACGTCTATAACGCAATGCCAACGACCAAGAATTCCAGAACAGATATGAGTATTTACTAATTTACTATTTTCTATGAAACTATTTCAGTTTTATACTTTTATAATTATTTAAAATTTATATATGCTTTGAGATAATGTAGTCCGTAATTGGATTATTATTTTCGTGTTCTTTTAACTGAACGAAAATACTGGGAAGAGATTACTAGATTAGTAGAATAAAAATACTCGAGTATAATATTACTATTAGTAGTTATTTCATTAATTTTACTTATTTACAATTCGAGTAACTAGTAACTACTACCAAAATTAGTAATTAGTAATTACTAATTTTTCGTTTGATTTTTTCAGTTGGTTCCGAGAATCGAGACCGAGCAAATCATTCGATTATTTTTCATAACAATCGAGTTACTCGATTTAATCAAATAATCGAGTTACTCGATTATTTTCACTCGATTATTCCCATCACTAGTCTCAACTGCTATGCGAGTATTGTCGACCAAATTTGTGTGTGTATGACCGACGGGTCCTAAAGTATTATATATCACATTATTATGTTCTGTTAGCCATAAAGGCATATTATTTATTACTTATATTTCATTGTATATTACAGCCATTCGGGCTTGGTTCAATCATGTATTATTTTTATTAATTATTATAGCCAAAGAGGCAACTAAAATTATATTTTATACTATGATTATTATTATTATTATTATCATTATTGTGCCAAACGGGCAATTAACAATTTATTACAATATACAGTCCACATTATTATATAAAACGACAAGGCTGTTCATTATTATTTTGGTCACCTTAAGCGTGAACAGGTATTTGCGTCCATTTTTGCCCATCCAAAGAAATGTTTGATCGAATGTGTTCAAATAACTTATATCCTAAGACTGATTTAATCGATACACACGATTTTATACTTAAAGATATGAATATAAATATGAATAATAATAAAAATTTGTTGTTTTCTATAATAATAAGATACTATACATACTGTATGAATCAGGCTGATGATTATTTGATGTCTTAATTAATTTTATTATGATTTTTAAGACTTTCCAATACTCATAATATATATAATACTGATACAACATAAAAAATATAAAACTACTAATTATTGTTTATTCGGAAATCAGAATGTTATTACGGTTTACGATAATGTACGATAATTTAATGATAATCCGTGTACGATAATATACGATAATTTCATAAGTTGTGTACGATTTTCGGCTATTTAAAATCTGGCAACAATGGTTCATTATTCTTTAATTACAAGAAAACATTTTCTATTGTGCTGTTAGCATTAGTCGACGCTCAATACAAATTCATCGCTGTCGATATTGGTGCGTATGGTAAAAGTAGTGACGGAGGTATTTTATCGTCCTCAAATTTTGGAAAAGCTTTAGAAAAAAATTAATTAAATATTCCCAATGGTCGGGTATTACCCGGTACAGATATAGAATTGCCCTATGTTATCATAGGAGATGAAGCATTTCCTCTAAAAAAGTATTTGTTAAGGCCATATCCTGGACCTCAAAGTTACGACGACGAAACAAAAAAAATATTCAATGAACTGCTTTCTAGAGCAAGGAAAGTAGTCTAAGACACATTTAACAGCTAAATTTTGCATTTACTGTAAGATATTAAAATCATTGCCAAATAATGCAGACAAAATAGTTATGACCACGTGTATTTTACATAATTTTATTAAAAAATATACTAGTGATATTCATGGTAGCAACAGAAATAAAATGTCAGAATCTATATTAAGTATTAATTTACAGACATTTCCAAAACAAGGAGGTAGTGCCCAAAAACAATCATTCAAAAATCGAGATATGTTTAAAGATTTTTTAACTCCTCTGCGGGAAAGCTACCATGGTCATAGAAACTTTAAATATTTATTTATCTATATGACATATGTATACATAAACTATAATATTACATTGTTATTTTTAAATAAGTATAAACACAGTAGTTAAAATACTTTGTTTACGTTTATATGTCTAATACATATTTTTCAATTATAAATCAAAATAGTGTTCAGAAAATGAATATAAATTGTGATTTATTTATATTAAGATACTTATTCCTAACTCCTGCTTTATTCCATGTTAATTTTAAGGAAAAAATATACAACACAAATAATAGATGATTTGCAATAGTTGTATGTGGCCGGGGGCGAGGCAAGTTTGGGCCAGGGACGTTTAGGTCACCAATAAAAATGCAACCCGTTTGGACCAGGATTTTGTGAACCCGTTTGGGCCAATTTTTTTAGTACATTTTAAATAAAGTACTTCTAATTTCTAAATATTTACTAGGAAGCCCGCTTAGGCCGTACGCGCGCGCTTTTAGTTTACATTGGTTAAGCTTAAGTATCGGATAGCAAAACGCGCCATCGTCGGAGTAATAAGATGTTCAGTTTAACTGTGTAAACTAATTTGTAATTTGTAGATTATGTACAGAACAAAATTATTTATAATTGATAACTGATCAAAAACCCACAGTTATATTATACATCATACGTATAATACAATAATAGATAAATGTTTCAAGCAGCTCGAATTTAAGTAGTTCATTAAAAAAAAATATATTTTCGTAATTCAGTCGACTCGTATTTAAAAAATTAATAATTTGTACCTAATGTACGTATTTATTTTTTTTAATATTATACACAATTAAATAATAATAATAATAATAATAAGAAACAACATTTTTAACCGTGCCAAAGACAGTCCTAAGCCTGTTAAAAATAAAACGGGAAGGAAAATGCTGGTCCAAACGAGTTGTATAAAAGTAATATTTTTTAGTCCAAACGGGTCTTCAAAATTGGTCCAAACGAGTGGTGTTTTAGAAAAATTGGTCCAAACGGGTCCTGCCCGTGGCCGGTAACCAACCACCCGTCAAAAGGACCTTTTTAGGATAAATACTGAACCTAACAGCGCCGAACAATGGATGAATAATATAAGTACCTACGGTTCAAAGATTCGATACAATTCAATGTATTTTTTTTTATTATAATTAATTGCCCAGCATTTCAACATAATCGCTACTATGCGATGTAGGTTTACCAAATGTGTATTAATTCGTATTTAGACTATAGTAGATATCAGTGCCATCAGAGACAAACTTCAGTTTATAGTTTCAAGTTAGTTAATCTCGTTTATAATATTATATTAGTATTGTGTAATTTTATTCTTTAATATGAACACAGAAATGTTAATCGAGTTGGTTCGTAGTCGACCATCTCTATATGATATGAGTAATAAAAAGTACAGTGACCATCAATATAAAAAACTTATGTGGAGAGAAATTGCAACTGAATTGAATCAATGAGGTATGTACCTACAGTTTTATTATAAAGTATTCATAGAAGGATTTTCTTATTTTGTTGTAATTCAAAACTAAGGACTATGGGTACTCACAATTTTCCATTGATGTTTAAATTACCATTTTCCAAACATCATTAAATTTTGAAAATATTTTGACACGTTGACATACAATTGAATACAAGACTCCTAAAATATTGCTACAATAGTAATTGGAAATATCAAAAATATATAGGCACGATTTTTCAGATTAAAATGATGACAAAATTTATCATAATGAAAATTTAAAAAAAGCGAGTATGTGGTTTCACGTAAGTAGTTAATTCTGTAATCGCAATATCTTAAAATATACATAAACGCTGTTTTTTTTTTATAGTTATTTTAAGTTTAAATTTGGACAAATTACATATTACATTTTTAACACAAAAAATAACGATTTTAGTCATTTTGCAGTAGGTAATTCAAAAATATTATTCGGGGGTATATGACAATTTTAGACTAGACTATAATATTTTATATTCACAATGAAACTTTAAAATTAAATTTTTATTTTTATCAAAAATGAAGTAGTTAACCTACAGTATAGTACTAATTCTTAACAGTAAAATAAATTACTTTAATCACAATAATATCATCAAATATACACATCATTGTTAAATTAATATATTCTCCATTTCCTTCAGAATTTAATACCTACCTATATAGTAAAACAATAAATAGGTAAAATTATTAATTTAGATTAAAATTTAAACATTTTAGCACAAATTTGCAAAAAAAACATGGAGTGGATTGAGAGACGCTTATAGGAGATCTTTCAAAAAATTAATTACTGTTTCTGGTCAAAAATCAAAGTTTGTTAAGAAATCGAAATTTTCCGATGAAATGGAATTTTTGAAAGAACACATGAAAGAAAGAGATTATATCAATAGTGTGGACCGGGTCAATGATGACGACGCTGAGTTATCTAATTCATACTTGTATACTGAAAAAACTCGATCGGAATGTAGGAGTGAAAATTCAGATGATTAACTTGATGTTGGTCAAGAAGTCGTAGAGCCATTATCAAATGAGAGTGCAAAAACATCTGCCCCTTCAACTCCACAATTATTTCCGAAAAAAAAATTAAAAACAAATAAAACAAATATTGACCCTACGGAAATACCTCAAACTGTATCAGCTACACTAATGAAGTTTATTTTAGAAAACAGAGGCAACACATCTAGTGAAGCAGATCAAAATATAGGACTTTTAGATCAATTTGTTTCTTCTATTTGTTCAACAGTGAAACAATTTTCTCCATATTATCTACATGTTGCTAAAAATAAGATTTTTTCAATAGTATCAGAATTGGAATTGGAACAATTTAAGTATACACAACCGCCAATATACTTGAATACTTTTACAGATCAGCCATCAGTTCAACCACACAATAACTTCCAAAACATCAGCACATCAAACATCAACAGAATATGCATTTCAACAACCTGTAGTTCAACCATACATTAACGATCAAAACATCGAAACATTAACAGAAAATGTAGGTCAATTTTTTAGCTCATCTATTCCTACAACTTCTTCTTCGACTGGTACTCAAACCAAGTACACAAGAAAATAATTTAGTTTTTTTTATCAAAATATAGCTCCTTAATGCTTAACATTTTAAAGTTTGATTTATATTTTTTATATTGTTTTAATCAAAGAATAATTTTGTTTTGTTTTTTTTTTATATTTTATTATACAATATTATATTTATATTTCAAAGGTAGATATTTAGAATGATTATGTTTTGCTAGGATTTATTGATTATTTTTGATTATTATAAATTATTTATGTAATGCAGATGAAATAATTTATTTTAGTTTTTATAATTTTTTAGTGTAGATTAATATATGTAGTACGTATCATATTATATCATAATAACAACTTGATTTTAGGAAGATTCTTGAATAAATTGATGTAGGTATTTTAGATAAATCAAAGTGAAAATCTAAACACTTTCATTTCTAATTTTCTAAATCAAAATATATAAATTGAAATATTTTTTCACCGATGTCTGCCAGTTTCGATGTTCACACTGCACCAACACTTAAGGTACCAACACATACCGGCACGAACCGCACCCGGCACCGTCAAAACTTTCGTTACGTGCTGTGCAGTGCCGTGACGTGTCGGGCTAGTGTGAATTGGGCTTAATAGTTGTCAAAATGTCAACCGACAATTAGTCATTAGTGTACCTTGACAGACGCCAGTCATTACTGAGTAGGGACCTATCAGAAAATAGTAAATACGAGTGAGCGGAGACCGTAATTTTTAGTCTGTTAGCATACCTATTATATTCATAATGATAATTTATTTTATGGAACAAATGTAGTTAATACCAAATATTAAGTATAAATAGGTAGCTATAATACCATTATACCAGTATCTCATTGCTCATAAAAAAGTAAATATCTATACGAAATACGAATAATATATTACTATAGGTCCAGGCAAGGACATCGCGGGACGCCGGGAGTTTTCCGGGTGGGCCGGTCTCTGTGTCGTACTTTTTTTTAGAATAACAGATTTTAATAATAATTATTATAAATTTAAGCCATGTGTAGCACGGAATAAGATACACAGTATATAGTCCGTGATGTGTAGACTACTCATAGAGTATATTACTGATTACTCTATGAGACTACAAACTATGGACTGTATTATTATCATATTTTATTGTTTATTCGTTGACTGATTTGAATTTTATCAGTTATAACTTGTAAGCACAATAATTTAGAAATGTGCATAGGTAATGCAACAGACGGTGCAGCCAACATGCAGGGTATCTACAATGGCTTTACAGCTTGGTTAGAAAACTTCTCTCCAGGACAAATGCATTGTTTGATGTTTGATGCTATGCACTATGCACATATATTAAATTTAGCCATAACTGATGTAACAAAGTGTTGGTTAGAAGCAGCATCTTTATTTACTCTTCTGAATAATGCAGCTGTATTCTATAAAGAGTCACATAAAAGAATGTCTCTCTAGAAAAATGTTGTAGGTGAAAAAGAACAGCGAAGATTACAGAAAGCTGGATATACTAGATGGGTGGGCTAAGAAAAGTGCTCTTAATAATATATTTGGATCACCCATTGATGGTTTTAATAGTGCTATGTATGTTTGTGTTGTCAGTGCATTGTATAAAATAGAAACATCTGATAAATACAGTTCAGATATTAGGCTAGAAGCAAAATGTTTAAAAACTGAGCTCTTGAAGTATTCTACTATATTAACTGCATTTATATACCAAAGAATATTTGAAATAACAGGGCCACTATCAAAGTATTTGCAAACAAGCCGTATCGGTTTAATAAAATCTCAAGAACTTGTAAATGATGCATTAAAACGTTTAATAATTATACAAAGAGATTGTGATGGCATACAAATGGTAGCAAACAAATTTGTTAAGTGGGCGTCAACAGAGTTGGAAAATAAATTCGACGAGGTGGATGTTGATGATTTAATTGTTGAAGACCATTTACCTGAAATTAGAAGTAGGAAAAGAAAATTACTACCTGGTGAGGTATCACATGATCAACCAATTGTAATGCTTACCAAAGATTTATTGTGGAAGTACACAATGTAATTTTAGATAAAATTGTGTGCAAAATTAAAGAAAGGTTTACTGGGAATGAAATGTTATATGATGACTTATCTTGTCTATCTCCTATCAACTTTGTTGATATAACAGCTAATGGTTTACCTACTACAGCATTAGATGAACTCTGTAAAAAGCTTGTAATATTTGATAATCGTTTTAACACCATTGCATTCAAAAATGAACTGTTCAATTTTGCTAAAAATTGGGACAGCCTTATGAAAACATTACCAGCATTTAACATAGAAAACTAAAATACAAACATAACACTTGAAAATGACGGATCTAGTGATGAAGTTGAAGAATGTGACACCCAAAATGTAATGAAAACAAGTTGTAGGTTTTGCATGAATTGTACTGTATGCTGTCTTCATGTTTTAGTCAAGTATAATATGTTGTGTACGCCAAGACACCTGACGAAGCACATTCCCGAAGGACCACTCGACGAATAATCGAGACCAAAAAGTTGATTGTAAATGTTTATGTCGCCTGTTATAACTTGGGTAGGCATCCTAATGTACACGACGACAACGCTGACCTCAGAATAGGTCCGGGCGGTGAGGTGATGAGGGGAACAGGATGATAGAGTATTAGATTGATAAGAGTTTAGTTATTGGGGGGGGGGGGGGTCTCCGTAGTCGGTTCGGCCCGGTGCAATGACCACAGAGCTCACATGAGTTGGCTTAACCTTAATAATTAAACTTAAAAACTAGTGAAACCTTGAAGTTGACCCGGACAGCCTGCCCACAGTGAGACACCCGTTGGACGTGGATTCCGAAGACCTGGGCGGCTTGAGGCTTCCCACACACTACGGCGAGTGTTGGCGGACTTACGCGGGAGTAGGTGGCACTTGATAACGGTGAGGCGCACAGTGTACGTACAAGCCGCCGGATCAGGTCACCCACGGATGACAATAATATAGTTCAATAATATAAGTTAATAACTCGCGGTTGAAATGATAATAATTGGACGTTTATTTTAAACAATAATGATGATGCCGTTGCAGTAACGGCTTCCAGTAGCGTCGCACGTACCGCAATGATAATAGTGTGTTGATCACAATGACCACACAGTACGATTGTACAGATCGAATTTCACAATAATAATTTAAGATTGGTGTGTACCAAAAAATACGTACACCCGACAAAGATTATAAAAAAAACACGAAACAAGAAAAACGCTGCAATAGCGGAACAGTAATAATGTTTTAACGACGAGAGATAGAACAACAATAATATGTTTTGACAACAAGGGCGTTGGCCGCAATAATAATGATAAAAAAAAAACACAAGAAATATTAAGATAATACAAATAAACAAAGACAAATATGGTGATTCTAATAATCAATAATAATAATAATAATACACAAGGAATATAAGATAGGAAGAAGAGATGAGTGGAAGGTGGGACTGACCGATAAGAACAATCGTGCCGTTGTGCTCATTAATATATCGCTGATGGTAATTGTCAGCGCCAACCATAGATATATAAAACAACTAGATAGCCGACTCTGTGATAAAGTCTCATAAGACCTATGAAGCCTGGCAGCCATATGCGAACAGGGCAAAATACGATTGATTAATCCATGAAATATTTAATTACTCCATGATTTTTTAAAAACTGCGAAAATTTGATTTCTGAATCAGTCCGATTAAGAGGACGTTGCACGGATATTTGTTTTTTTCCGACTTACAAGTGCGTACATCGCACATTTTACGCTCAGCCGATCACTGATTAAGTAGTTTTTGAGTTTATCCATTATACACAAACAAATCTTTTCTCTTTATAATAATAAAATAATGAATAATTTCAAATCACGGAATACCATAAGGTACAACTGTATTGGGTCCTCTTTTTCATTGTGTTTATTAATGACTTATTGAGTATTAATTGTAATGAATCAATTATCAGTTTTACTGATGACACGTCAATTTTATTACTATGGATGACATAAAGAAAAATAGTATTCATAATAAATCTACTCGTGTATTAAGTATTGTCAAAATATGGTTTGACAATAACCTCCTGGAACTTAATTTAACCTAAACTTGCTTTATAAACCTTAGTATAAATAAATCTTCACCCATTGGTTATAAATGTATAATTATCTCAAGCCTCATCAAAAAAACTGTAATGAATTTAATATAAATACAGTGATTTCTATTAGTAATGACAGTAGATGTAATTGCACTACTATATTTTATCTAGTTCAAAAAGTAAAATATCTAGTTATTACTATAGCTGATGCTAACTTAAAATGACAAAATCATATTATTAATACAACTAGAAAGATCAGATTATTATTCTATAAATTTAAAACTCTTATCAACATACTTCCACCCACCACAATGAGACCTACTTATAATTTATATAAGTATAAATACTATAATATTATAAAGCATAGGTATTATACACATAATCAACACAACAATAGTTAACAAATAGTATATATTTCTTCATTACACTTTTATGAATACAATTATTTTATTGGTTGGAGAATAATATTAATTTGGATAATTTATGTCTCTTACTGACAGGGTTCAAAATATCTGTTGAATACATTTTTCCAAATGATTTTAATCTGAGTCTTACAAATTTTTTTGTTATATGTGTTATAAGAATTAGTTTATATTATATAGTTTATATAGTTTTATGGTTTTAAACTTGTAAATTGTAATTTCAAATTTGTAACGAAGTAGCAATCATAATTTCATCATACCATATATTATCATGTTTCAATCATAGATAAATTATATTTCATGGAAAATTATATAATGTCATGGATTAATATCAATCGTATTTTGCCCTGTTCGCATATGGATGCCAGACTTCAATTTTTGGCGTTGAGTCGGCTATCTAGTTGTTTTATATATCTATGGCCCCAACATAATATGTATAACAGTGATTATAGTAATTTAGCCTTGGCATACAAATATCTTTTAACACTGCCATCAACTAAGGTACATATATATTTTATAAATTATTTAAATACACTATAAATATTGATTCATTTGCGTTTTGCGTAGGTAGAATATGAGCGAACATTTTCGACATTAAAATTTATTAATAACAGATTAAGGAGGAAACTATCAGAATCAAAACTAGAGGCGTTTATGTTAATGTCCGTCGAAAAAGAAGTACTTTATAATATAGACACAGATGACATAATTAATAAAGTAGCTAGTACCTCTAAAACATTAACTAAAGAATTAATGTATTAAAAAGTTATAAATATTAAAATATATTTGTGTAACTAAATTTGAGTATATTTTTTTTCATAAAGGGCCGGCATAGGGACAGGTTTCCCGGGCTGAATTTTTATTCCAATCCGTCCCTGTATAGGTTCATTGATACACAATACTAATATAGGTACAATAATTATATTTAAATCAATGTTAATAATATGCATTAGGGACTATAGCTAGTTCCTACTACCTAGCTGCTAATCCTTTATATGTCATTACCATCAACCGTGGGGCACGGACAAAATACCAGTCTTATGAGTTATGACTTATTGCTATAGTCTCAAGTTCTTGGCTACCTTAGTCCATGGTAAATACTGATTTAATATTGTACTGAGAAGCGTAGTAGTGTAGAATGGTGTGAATAGGTTATAAAACATGTTATAAAAAGCTTAAAATTGATTTAAATATTTTGAAAATGCTATTGCGTTTTACGTCATACACGCATAGTAATTAGTAAATAATAATAATATACGTACACTTTGTGACAAAAACTTTCAAGTCCTTATAAATTATAATTATTTTTATAAATATTTTCATGAATTTTTCTAGTAATTTAGATCCGAAGTGACAACTAGGTCTCCTGTGGACTATGGTCAACTAGTTCCTCGTGGTTATTTAGATCCGTTGTTAACTAGATCCTGTTCGTGTCATTTAGATCTTGAGGATCTAGTCAACCGGGGATCTAGGTGGCCGTTCACCCTTACCCAGATAGCAACTTGTATAAAATTGTAAAGCAACTTGAAGAATGTTTTGCTTTACATGCATGTTCAAATGGTGTCTTTGAAAATACCTGTAACGAGTTTTTCACAAGGAATTTAAATATTAAATTCAACTGCACCATTCGTGAACACCAAAAAGAAATGTTAACAAATATATTTTCTTACTACATTACAATGCGAATGAGGCAATACACCTTTATGCAAAATCAAGCAAATAAAAAACAGTGCCGAACAAAAAAAAAGTTGTCAAAATTAGTTAAATCATAATTAAGTAGGTAATAAGTAGCTAGTAAGTTATTAAATGTAAAACGTGTATGAATATTAAATTTTTCAGTTCATAAATCAATATATTGGTTGCATATTATATAGCATTATAGCTTGATTATAAAGGGATATAATATATATTATATAGGGCTCTATATGGCTTACATTATAATATTATATTACTGTTATACTTGTACAGCTTGAAAACACACTTCAATAAAATAATTGGAAAATAATATTAAATTGTAATGTATTATGTAAATTAAACTCGTAAAAATAATTACAAAACTTAAAATTCAGCGGGCAGCCGGCACGGTAGTGTACACTATAGTTAACTTTTTTCTCACGGGGAGCGCTTGCTGTAATTTCCAGCACCATGTAAACTCAGTTTGGTACTCACTTTATCATAACCTGATGTACAACTTGTATATCTTAAATAGGGATGTTAGATCGAAAGAAAAGTATCGATACTTTTACTTGGTATCGAATCGAAAGAAAGTATCGATACCATCCATGTATCGAATAAAAAGTATCGATATTTACTCATATTTATACAAAAAAAAGGACTAAAAATTTAGTATGGTCACATTGGAACTCATAAATAATATATAATCGTTCGTACGACGTACATTACCCAGTATATTTTATATCTATAGACTTTTACGGCCTTATTTTCAAACTCTACTTAAACATTTTAAATGCCCTTAACATTCAAAGTACACTTAAAATACAAATTTAATAGAATTTTCGTATTTTTCATACTTTTAAGCTTAATAATTTAAGTAAAAACTTAAGGTACCCTCGGAGGTAACTTAAATGTCAATTTTACACCTATCACATCAATGATGATTTATGTTATCAATTATCATAATATAATTAAAACTATTTTATTTATTTATTATATCACAAATTCATAAGTCAAATATTATAAAGTAAAAAAAATATATATATAGGGGAGACTGGCTTAATATGACATATTAGGGTAATATGACACATTGATGTTTTGATTAGAATTACTGATATTTATGAACCAAATCTTCTTGAAATACGTTACATATAACCTCCTACATACAATTGTATACAGTGATCACCGGTTTTGACCTTATCAGAGAATTTTATAACAAAAATGTGTTTTTTATCTTATCAACATTTTTTAAAATCATTTTTTAAAATTAATTTTGAAATATTAAACCTTATGTTCCTTTAATTTTTTTTATTCGAAGTTGAACATAAAAAGGCAAGCTATACTATAATTGTTTTATAAATAAGCTTATTATAATACTTTTGCCATAAATACTTTGAAAAAGACTTGTATTATATCAGGCAAAATGACATAGCAGTGTTTATTATTATATTAATTTCATATTTATATTATTATATTAATTATGTTGAATATATTTCTAAAATTTTGTTATTTATAGTAAAAAAAATTCATTAAACTATTACATTTTAAAAATTTTATAATTTATTTTTATTGACCAGTATACAATGGTTGCTTATACAAATATGGTGTATGCCATTTTACCCGACACTCCGGGTAAAATGACATAGTAGGTACATTTAAAAAAAGTGAATTAAAATTATTTGTTTGTATTAAATGTACAATTAGACTCCAAAAATATGTGTATAATATAAATACAAATATGTTTCTCAAGTTTCATGTGTTAACTATCATTATTTCCTTCATTTTTTTTAAATTAAAAAGTGCTATGTCATATTAAGCCAGTCTCCCCTACATACAGTCAAATATTATAAATTGAAAAAAATAGCAAAATTCAATATATAAAAAACAATCAATCATCAAACCAACATTCGTCAAGCAAGTCTCCCAAGAACATCAGTTTACCTAGACGAGAACTAGATAAACGGTTCCGGACCTGAGTTTTAGTAGCTCCAGCTTTTGAAAACAACCTTTCACAAGGTACAGCAGTCGCAACGATGACAAAATGATTTCTGGCCTGTTTATAGAGAGCTGGAAAAGTTCCTTTTATTTTTTCCCACTCTTCTGATGGATTAGAGCAGCGTTTCCCAAATAGTGGGTCGCGACCCACTACCGGGCCATAAAAAATTTAATACCTGGTCGCAAAATTTAATGAAATTCTCATATTAAATTTGTTTTTTATCATTTTCGTTTGATATTTTAAACTTTTAAGTAAAAATAAATTCATTAATACGAATTACTATTATTTACAACATAAATAATAATTATTGATATTATCAACAGGGCTTCATGAAAAACCCGAATAGTATGACATTCGCCGTATCTATAAATACATTATAATTGTAACAAATGAATGCGACAAGTGTCGTTGGTTGTTACATCACTAATCCGTTATCCATTATCTACAAGTGAATTACTGATATAGCGATGGCTAAATATTTATTTCAGTTTGAACCTTGGTGTCTAACGAAGCACGTCTACGAGTTATTAAAATTGTAATACGTATACGCGTCTTATTTTCTCATGTAAATATAAATATTTAAAATCTAAATACAGGAGAACAATTTTGGGAATTTATTTGCCACGATTTAACTTGACGGAAAATAATTTCATCTCGAATATGCGAAAAAAAAAACAGGAAAACCAAATTTGTTGGCGTTGTCGAATAACACGGTGAAGCGTAGAATCGTGGATATGGCAAATAACATCGAAGAAACAATAGAAGCCCACCTCAAATCGTGTTATTATTTTTCTTTACAAGTTGATGAAAGTACAGGCGTGTCGGATAATGCTAATCTAATGTGTTTTGTAACATATGATCTTGGAAATACTACTCACGAAGAGTTTTTGTTTTGTATATCGCTGCCAACAAGAACAACAGCAGAAGAATTATTTAATTTAATCAATAGATATATTGTTGAGAATGGCATTGAATGAAAGAAATGTGTGGGATTGAGTAGCGATGGAGCACGTGTAATGTCAGGTATTCGTACTGGACTTTTTCCAAGAGTAAAAGCTGTAGCACCGGAATGTGTATGAGTGAATTTTAGTACTCACAAAGAGGCATTAGCGGTCAAAAAATGCCATTGTCTTTAACTAAAACGATGCAAGAGTGTACAATTTATACATTTTATTAAATCTCGTCCACTAAACTCGAGAATATTTTCTGCTTTGTGCAAAGAAATGGGGAGTGATCATGAATATCTTCTTTTACACTGTGAGGTTCGATGGTTATCGAGAGGGAATATCTTGAAAAAACTAATCGAATTGAAGGAAGATGTTTCGGTATTCTTAGAACAAAATCCTCCAACATCTAAAGATGCAATTTTTGAATTTAAGGACAGATATCATGATGCTAATTGGTTAGTTAAGGTAGCCTACATTTGTGATGTGTTTGATTTTTTGAATAATTTAAATTTGGCACTTCAAGGTGAAAATGTGAAAATATTTAAAGTAGTAGAGAAGGTGGAAGCTCCAACAAAAAAACTTAATTTGTGGTCACGTCGCGTAAAAAAAGGAAATTACGAGGCTTTTACAATACTGACAGCATTTCAAAAAGAGAATAACATAAGTTTCATGCCAAACGATACATCAGCTCTTATTCAGGAACATTTGCAAGGACTGGAAGCTAATCTAAAAGCATATTTTCCTCCAATTCACAGTAATAAAGCATGGATAAGAAACCCATTTTCAATCAATATTGAAACAACATTTTCGGACTTAAATGTTGAATCATTAATTGAACTCTCGTGTGACACGGCACTCAAAGACATATATAAGGATCGACCATTAATACATTTTTGGTTATCTTGTCGTTAAGAGTACCCAGTTGTAGAAGAACAAGCGATAAAATTTCTAATGCCTTTTGTCACGACCTATAAGTGTGAAGCAGGATTTTCAACACTCGTGTTCCTGAAGAATAAATACAGGAATCGTTTGGAAGTCGAACCGGTCTTAAGAATAAAATTAACGTCTTTTCCAACAAACTTGGAGTTCCTAGTCAAAAATAAACAGCTTCATATTTCTCACTGATAGTCAACTAATACAATTAGTAACTATATTATAATTATTACATTGTAGTTTAAAAATATAAATTAACGCTCTAATTTTATTATAAAATGCTATGTTAAATATGTTTTATTTTGCCTTTTATTACACAATGATAAACGTAAAATATTTTGGTGGGTCACGAAGGTGAAAAATATAAATTACCGTGTGAGCCCAAACAAAAGTTTGGGAAACGCTGGATTAGAGTTTAATGAAGATACACCATTCACCAGATACAAAGAAAGTTCATCATTTGTCGACTCCAAGTTCTGGTTTCATCTTTATTTGTGTAATTGATTTTGGGCCAACAATTTGTGAGGTAGCCAAAACTCATATTGATGTGGTTGTGACGATGTTTCATCACTTCCAAAATCACTAGAAGACGTATCTGTTCTGATCGAATTTCTTAATGATGCCATAGCTTTAGCACAATCATTAGGATCCTTGAAGTGCAAATTTTTGAATCTCGTGAATATGAATCTACTAGACATATTGTTTCAAATGGAAACTTCTCTGCAATAGATCTCACAATCACTAGTATCAACCCCACTACACTATTTGACTGGCAAGTACTTCCAGCCTACAGCGATAGTGACCACTGGCCCATTGGAATTCATTATCAATACCACCTAAGTGAAAAAAAATACTCCACAAAATGGAACCTTAAAAATCCAAACTGGGAACTCTTCTTTAAAATAATTGAATTCAAACTTAATCAAAACCCATTAGACTTAAACCCATACGGCAATCAACTAGAAATAGACCTAATAGTTAGAAAATTCACTGGCATTATTATAGAAGCAGCTAACCTATCAATTGGACTAAAAACACATATAAACATAAAAAAATCTGTTCCATGGTGGAATAAAGAATGCCAAGACGCTATTAAAAACTATAACAAAATCTTAACCGATATAGAAAAACAAAATCCATCACAGATCACATTCAGCTTAAAAAAACAGCGCTTCATCAAAAAAAAGTAGAACAAAAAAAAGTAAAACATTATCTTGGTAAAATTTTACTTAATCTATAAAGCACAAAATTCCCTCAAATATCATATGGAATAAAATTAACTCCATCTGAAGCAATAAATTCAACACCATCCCTGATATCCTGCTCTACAATCAAGAAAAAATAACATCTTCACAAAATGCCTCTGAAGCTTTTGCAAATTATTTTCATAAAAACAATAGTGACGAGAATTACAATTTTGACTTCATAACCCTCAGAAACTCCTCTCCAGACATTCCCGCACCATTAATGGACCAAAATAATGAACACTTCAACAAACCCATAGATATCTCAGAACTACTTGTTGCACTTCAAAGCTGTAAAAGCAAAATCCCCGGCCCTGACAATATTCCGTACTCATTTTTAAAAAAATCTACCATTAATAGGAATTAAAACCATCCTCTAAATATATAATATAGTCCCTGGGGATCTTTACAAACCAATGGCGCCATGCATATATAGTTCTAATTTCAAAACCCAACAAAAGTAAATTTGTCATCGAAAATTATAGACCTTTATCACTAACACTAAGTAAACTAATAGAAAAAATAATAAATAAACGACTAATCTGGACCTTAGAATCATCCAAACTACTTACCAAAGAACAATGTGGCTTCAGAAGAAACCACTCAACATTAGATGCATTAACTTCATTACACACTGATATTTGCTCAGCGTTCAGACGTAATCATCACCTCATCACAATAGCCTTGGATATAACAAAAACATAAGACACAGTATGGACAAAAAGAGTACTGACGATTTCCTATTCATGGAAAATAAATGACAACCTCCTTAACTTCATAAAAAACTTCTTAACAGACCGAACATTTAGCGTCAAAGTCTACCACAAGATCTCACCACCACACACTATTGAAAATGGACTTCCACAAGGGTCTGTACTTAGTGTCACCCCCTTCCTGGTAGCAATAAACGACATATGCAATAACATACCAAAACCAACTAAATACATTCTCTTTGCTGACGACTGCAGCATATATTGCAGTGGATCACAAATTACAACTACTACCCTCATCCTCCAACAAGAACTTGATTCTCTTGCCAGATGGTCTTCTGAAACTGTTTTCAGCTTCTCTCAAACCAAAACACGGTGTATCATTTTCAATAAAAAGAAGAAGGACCCCCTACAAATATTAAACTTCAGGTATACACAACTTCCTTTTACAAATAGTATCCGAATCTTGAGCCTCATCTTTGACCACAAACTCACCTGGAAACCTCACTTGAAAAAATTAAAAATAGAATGCCAATCAAGAATTAAGAAGCTAAAAATACTTGGAAATAATAACTGGGGTGCCGACACAAATAGCCTTATCACAGTCTACAAAGCCCTCATTCTATCAGCAATAGACTATGGAGATATAATCTACAGCTCGGCGAGCCCAGTTGACAGTATACTCTTCTATACAGGAGAAGCTCCCCTTCATCTCAGACGCCAAAACAATATCTTAAAATATGTAACTAAAATTAAAAATCTGTCTTATGACATCACCAACCATATTCTTCACAACCCATTACCCCTTAATGTATTACCCTCCAGAAGAACATTGTTTGAAAACTTTAAAACTATTAGTGAAAACCTATCCTTCCAAGCACAAACACTAAATAAAATTCAACCGTCTCACCCTCCTTGGCTCTGGTCGCCAATCATCAACACCAAACTGACTGAATACTGCAAACAGAACACCGACAACTCAATTATATGAAACCAGTTTTTGGAAATTATACACCAACAATTCCAGGAATATACCCAAATTTACACCAATGCCTCCAAAAATACAAATGGTGTGGGTTTCTCTGTCATCACAAACAAGAAAACCATCTTTTCCAACTACCGTCTTCCACTAGTATATATACAGCCGAAACTTACGCTATCTATGAAGCATTAAAAATTGAATTATCTTCAAACCCGAAAAATTGCAGAATTATCATCAGTGACTCTCTGAGCGCCCTCTCATCAATTTCAAATCCCTATCCAAAAAACGAGCTCGTCCAACATATCCAGAAACTAATATCTGAAATAAACAGACCAACAAGCTTCATGTGGGTCCCCTCACACGTCGGGATAAACGGAAACGAGAAAGCCGACACTATAGCCTTTAAAGCCACCACATCTCCTTCTTCCACAAAGATAAACACACTAACCTTTTTTGAAACTTTCAACATCATACAGCATAAGCTAACGGAAGAATGGTCAACATTTTGGTCTAACCTACCCCTCTATAACAAACTCTATACAATAATACATTTCCGTCATCGCAGATTATTCACCAGTACCATTCGACCTGCAGATCGATTCTGTTACTCGATAAGACCTGTTATCGACAACTTTCGGTTCGTTAAGCTAACGAAACGATTACCATCGAAAAATTATCAATATAGTGATTCTGTAACAGTTTTGTAACGAATTTTATCGTTAAAGTTTCGAAATGATAGCGAAAATATTCGATGTCGTATCGCGTGATTAGGAATGGCCGTTAGCATTATCGAATCGTTATCATACATTTAATTTTGTTTAAACATGATATTAATTATTTAATACAATTTTTTTAACTCGTGTCTCGTAATTTTTTACTATAAGCTAATAGGTAATAGTAATTAATATGGCTTTATTTTATCTTGGTTGGCATTTGTTGGCCTTTGAGGAAAGGGTTAAAATATTGGAAAGGCCTATACAGAGAAGAATTTTAAGGGACTCGCAAAATCCTTATGATCTTCCAAGAAATGAATTTTGAATACGTTTCGAGTTAGTCCAGAATTAGCTTTGGACTTGACTAATGAAATTCGTGACAAACTTCAACGAGAACGCAGTACAGGACTTCCAGAGGAAATTCAAGTAACTATATTTTTGGATAAATATAAGCTTCTTACATTGTAATTCAGTATAATATAATACTTTTTCGATTCAATTATAATGTGTACAAAACGTATTTAAGTGCAGTGGCGTATTTTCTACTTATGTTTGAGGGGGTGAAAAGTTTATTAAATGATCCATATCCATAATATCCATGTACATAACATAATTATAAAATAAAATCAAGTTTTCTATTTTACTATAACTAATTCATCAATCACTTCATTGATTTCAAATATTAACTCTTGGTAAATTGAGGCAAGGCCTTAAAGTTTTATTCTATAACAATTTTGAAACGATTGTCTTATGACAAAAAAAATCTTTAGGGGGTGTGGAAACCCCTAGAACCACCACTGTTTAAGTGTAACTACAATAGATATATTTAAAATGTTTAGAAATTGTTTTGTTTCATTTAGGTATTAGAAGTTATAAATTTCTACGCAAAAGGTGGTGCATCCACAATGTAACAGATGCTATCAACAATACACTTTTGAGGAGATGTGTCCGTTTTCCCATGACTGCAAAAGACAAAATGCTCGTAAAAAATTTGTAAATTCCCCTCAAGACTTTAAAGGTGCTATTGGTGCTATTGACAGCATGCATATTAATATTATTGCCCCAAATGAACATGAGGAAGCATACATGAATCATCATGGTAACCATTCCCTGAATGTCCAAGCGGTTTGTTTAAAATATTATTAATTGTGTAAATCAAACAGCTAATTTCTTCAACTCCACGATTTCCTTCCCCTTCGTGCCAAAAATAACATTCAGTTTGACCAGTATTTAACTTGGAGGTAGTAAAATTGAAACTATTTAACTTGGATTTATAATAAAACACAGAAACGTCACCACGTGGAGCCGGTAAAACTGCCTGTAAGTCATAAACATATACTATACAATTTTTATTCGATTTCTTTTTGTCTTCTTCTTTTTCTTTTCTCGATAACTCTTTTTCACGTTGATGTATTTCGTACTTTTCTCTAAATTTCTCTTTATCTTCACCCTCGGCGTTCTGGAACGAAGTGCATAATTCACATTGGTTCTTTTTGGGAGTAAAAAAACTTATATTATATTCTTCGTTGAATATTTTACTATGCATTACCAGATTAACATGTGGACGACCAGCAGTAATACAATCATCTCGGTAGTCTCTCCACAAACTCGATAGTGAATATCCTCCGGTGATATATTCTCGTGTTGTTTGTGCCCGAAGATAATGAGATTCGATTCTTGGTATGGAATCAATGTGTTTGCGGACATCTCTTTTTAATTCGTCTGAATTTTTCTATGTTTCAAGTGTTTTCTACGTAATTCTGTTTGAAATGAAGTAGGAATCCATTTTTACTGATGACAGTTCGAATTGGACGATCATTTATATCAAGAGTAGCTTTAAAAAAATGTTTACAAACACAAAAACCAGTTTCGTTTAGCTCAAAGTAATATGCGTAGTTTAGCTTACGATGATTTTCAGTTGATGAAAATCTATATTTTATCTTAATGGACAGCATACAGGTTGATATGTAACTGCACTGTTTACTCAAATCACCTAATGCCCAATATTTTTCAAATATATTCTGCCTTTGGGTCTCATCAATTTTTGAA